TTGGCTCTGCACATACATCTTGTACCTCTTGTACCTTAGTCCAGTCCAATGTGTCATCCTCACTTTCATCACTCTCTAACCCATCACTCCCAGAGAACCCTGCAAATGACTCTTCATCTGTGGGAGTAGTAAGTATATCCCGGATCTTCTTCCTTTGTCGCTCCTCATCCGATTCTTGCTCCCGAGTAACCCTCTTAGTTCCCCTATTCACATCCACTGTATCTCCTTCCTCTCCCTCACTCATTGACCCTTCGTTATCAGAGAACCCTTCAAATGAGTCTTCATCAGTAGGTGCCATAAGTATATCCCGGATCCTTTTCCTTTGTTGTTCTTCATCTAACTCCTGCTCACGAGCACTCCTTTTTCCCCTTCTGACACCCATACTACCACTTGCAACATTACTTACAGGCTCTACTACAACAGTATGACTAGACATTTGTATACTTTCATACATGTTACCCACAAATATAAACTCAGTAAAAGAGATTTTGTGTGTGTGTGTGTGTGTGTGTGTGTGTGTGTGTATGGCAACATATATGTTGCTTTCTATTTGGCTCCAAAATTAGCAATGCTAATTGCAACAAGCCAAGGAGTATGCAGAAAAGATTTTGTGTGGCAGAACAACTTGTTTGCCACCCTAAAGCATTTTTGACAGTAATGGGAGTTCAATACACTGGCTCATATGGATGAACATATCATGGTTTGAGAAACTGCTTCTTGTAAGCTCACACACAGTCACTTCTCTCTTCCATTTGTAAGTAGACAAGCTGGGAGGTCTAAAATGTAACCAGTGTCTCCTACTTTGGAGGCAATGGAAAATCACCATTAATTGAAATTGTCCTGGCTTTTATGCTTGCTTTTGAAAAGTAAGACCTAAAGGTTCATTAAGATAAAATAAAGTTTTTGAAACATAGTCCCTTATTTCAACTTTTAAAAAGAACTTGTATAATAGGCATATTATTGACATGTCAATACCTCACCTTTGGTACTTCTGTAACTATAAATGTGTAAACCAATGTAAGCATTGTCAAAACGGACTTCATGCATAACCTGCAAGCATGAAAGTTTGACAATAGTCAGTAGGATATAATCTGATTTAAAGACAATTATTTACAGGAAGTTAGTCTCAAAACCTCAGTGGGGCCAGTTATTCTCCTTCAGCCTAACATGGTTGTTGTAAGGATAAAATAGATTTCCCAAACTCTTTGGAAGTGGTACAAACTGAAAATGTAATAAATACATAAATAAATAGATCTACAACATTGTAGTCATATTCTTGTATGGCAATATAACAGAGAAGCCTGACTGCATTTCCAGCTGCAGTATATGCAACCTTTTGACCCTAGTTTTGTGTCAGCAGAAGTACATAACTCAATTGAAAAAGGAAAGTTTACTGTGTTATTCCCAACCGGGGTTCCTGATTTAATTTGCTGTGCCACTTACGGCCCTTCCAGACAGGTCCTGAATCCCAGGATCCAATCCTAGGTTTTCTGTTTATCCCACATTATCTGGCAGTAGGGACTCCAGTTTAAAGCAGAAAACCCAGGATCAGATCCTGAGATATCCTGTGTGTTTAATGTCTGATTTTATACTGCTGTGTCGCTTATTATATTGGTTCTGCATTTTATGTTTTTATTTTTTAGTTTTGTTATGCTTTGGTGTTATATTGTGTTATGCTTTTGTGTAATATTGTGTTTTCTGAATTGATGGGCATAGCCTCATGTAAGCCACCCCGAGTCTCCCTGGGGGAGATGGAGCGGGGTATAAATTTATTATTATTATTATTATTATTATTATTATTATTATTATTATTATTATTATATTATTATTATTATCAGGCTTGTCTGGGAGGGCCCTTACAAGCCAGATATTATACATCAGGGTTTGTTATTGTTTTGCGACACCTAGTTCGCTTGGCAACAACCAGGCAGGAGCAAGGTTGAGTTGGGGGGTGATATAAATGTCTTATGGTAATTGCAATGAGACAAGTTACAAGTTACAATTCCATAACTATGTGTTTGAAAACTAGCTAATGGTTTTGAAACCATTTCAAAACTTTCTCACTTGTTTGTTCTTTCATCCAAACTTTTATCTCCTGGAAAACAAGTAACTTTGGGATTAACTGTATTCCCACACTTCATTGGAATCACTAAACATAATTAGACAACACTACTTAATTTGCCTTTGATCCTGAGCAATAATGTTCATGATAAATTAGTAAACAACCGTTCTTGCTAGCTTTGACTTTATTGCGTTTAGAAATGGGGAGCAATCCTAAACCTATGATAAAATGGCTTGCACACTTTCTTTCTGAAATGATTATGGTGTGATCCATTAATATAAAAACAACTCCTATGTCCGTCCTCCCCAAACTTCTGAAGAATAAGACATTTGATCTTGTTGTTCATCAAAAGGAAGCATAAAGGAATTGTATGAAAGGAAACTTCATTATTCCAAAGAACTGTGTGGCCCATTCTGAAGTGGGCACTTGCTCTTTGTTCTAGCAGATTATACACGATCTGAAGCAAACACAATTTGCTAGCATGTGAAAAACATCAACTCTTTAAAAAAACATATTTCCATATTTTTTTTCTGGTATTGTGTTGTCTAAAGACAAAAATGTCTATGAGAGGAAAAGTGAGAGGGGTTTCCCAGCATAACAAAAAGCAGTCTGGTAGCATCTTTAATAGGTTTATTCTGGCTACGGTGATCCAGGCTACGGTCATCTCAAGGTTGGACTACTGTAACACCCTCTACATAGGCCTGCCTTTATCGGTGATCCGGAAACTTAAACTAGTGCAAAATGCTGCTGCCCAGTTTCTCGCAGGGGTCCCAGCGAGGTGTCATATTTATTTATTTATTTATTTATTTATTTACTTTGCTTATATACCGCTGTATCTCAAGCCCGAAGGCGACTCACAGCGGTTCACAAACAGTAAAAACAGTAGAAACAGCAGTGGTTCCATACAACATATAACAATTGACTTAACACATTATCCATAAATTACCAATAAGCAATTACAATGCACAATTATTACAAAAAACAACCGTACCCAATCTTCTCATCATCCAAGCGTAGTCCAGGTTCGTCGTCCATTGTTCCATTCCTATGTTCCATTACCAGATTGCACTAAATTACTCAAACGCCTGCACAAACATCCAGGTCTTCACCTTTTTGCGGAATACCATTAGAGATGGTGCTAGTCTAATGTCCGTAGGAAGGGCGTTCCACAGCCGAGGAGCCACCACCGAGAAGGCCCTATCTCTCGTCCCCGCCAGCCGAGCTTGAGAAGCAGGCGGGATCGAGAGCAGTGTCTCCCCGGAAGATCTCAAAGTCCTGGTGGGTTCATAGGCAGAGATGCGGTCAGATAGGTAGCTTGGGCCAGAACCGTTTAGGGCTTTAAAGGCCAACGCCAGCACTTTGAATTCAGCCCGGTAGCAGATCGGTAGCCAGTGGAGTTGGCGCACCAGATTACCTTCAAAATGCTGATTCTTTCCTTTAAGGCCTTATATGGCCTGGGGCCAGAGTACCTGAGGGACCGCCTCACCCCCTACCAGCCCCCGAGATCACTCCGTTCAGAATCTCCTTGAAGTTTCTAATTTTAGGACCTTTCACCTGATGTCTACTAAGCGTAGAGCTTCATGTGAATGTTAAACAACATGGGGGAGAGGCTCCTGCAAATCCAGGAAAAGGTGGGGATATTTTCCCCTCCCTCTTCCAGCTTATATCAGAATAGGGTGCCCACAATGGTAAGGAGTGTACATGGAGCACTGTGACTGGTTGGGAATCATAGTAGTGGTGATGTGAGCATCCTTTTCCCTGAACTCAACAGCACAGGGAAAGAAGATAGCACCACTATCCCATTGTCTAGACTGACCTGAAGCCATGGGAATATTCCAAAGTTTTCAGCAAACTCTGGAGTATTTTCTGACTTACCCAAAGAGGTTCAAAGCTAATTTAACGAATGAAATTAGCAGACATCATGGGAACTACATAGTGAATTCAAGGTGGGTCTGGGTTTTGTGCCTATGTAAACCTGCCCCTTATTATTATTATTATTATTATTATTATTATTATTATTATTATTTAAAACTTTTATATCCCAATCTTCTCTGCCTCACCAGAGGGACTCACAGCTAACAGCAAAGATTCAGTGCTAACACTGAAAATCTCAAACATAATACAAAACATTAAGTTACCAATTACATTACATAAATTACATAAAATTACATAAAAGGCATTTGCCAGGATAAAATCGTGTCCAACTCAGTCCGTATGTCCAGTCCATATATTGTGATCAGTACCATTAGTCGATTGCCGGTCTCAGACATCATTCCGCAAAAGCTTTGTTGCACAGCCAGGTTTTCACTAGCTTCCTAAAGGTCAGGAGGGAGGGGGCAGATCTAATTTCATTTGGGAGGGAATTCCATAGCTGTGGGGCCACCACAGAAAAGGCACTGTCTCTTTCCCCCACCAGACGCGCCTGCGAAGATGGTGGGACCAAAAGCAGGGCCTCTCCAGACGATCTTAACACTCTTGATGGTTCATAGGGGAGAATACGTTCGGACAGGTAAACTGGGCCGGAACTGTATAGGGCATTGTATTGGTATACTGCTCAGCACTTGACTCAGGGAATCTACTGTTGCATATGTATGCATGACCTCTAGTACAAGAGAAAATTATACAGCCTCCAGCTATACTGCAGCTTCCAGCATTCCTCACAATTGATTATACTGGCTGTGACTGCTAGGATCTATAGTCCAACAACTTCTGAATGGTGACTTCTGTCTCTGCTTTAGCTTGAAGAACCTTTGTTCTATAATTTTACCTTTTACCAAAGCTGTACTGGTTAGAATGCATAACTGAGATAGAAATCCCTTTTCACTTGCGAGCTGTTTTCACAGTCTACCTTGAGAGATGGATCCAAAATGCACTCAGACATGTATGTTGTACAGATTATTTATACAAATAACTTCAAATTAATATTTTATCATTGCAGAAGAATTGGAACTGAAGAAACCAATGAAACCAGAAGGTGGAAAAAAGAACCCCAGCAAACAAAAAAGAAAAGGAAATAAAGATAAGAAGCATAAAAATAAAACTAGAACTCCATGTGAAGGAGAATTTAGAAATTTCTGTGTTCATGGTGAATGCAAATATATTGAAAATGTCCAAACAGTCAGATGCAAGTAAGTTTACCGATAAATCTCTAAACTCTGTTTTTTAAGTTTCTGTGTAGTTGCTTTTTATAAGGCATCACTTTATCATAAAGATGTTAATGGAGTAACAAAAGTGGATCCATAAATCTTTGAGGAAATCCCTGGACATGTCGAAAGTGAACAAATCTAAAATAAATTATGCCTAGCAGCGAAAATAGTGGTGAACAAAACTCCTTTTTTGTATGACCTGGACTTTTCATGTCAGGAGTTAATTGAGAAACTGCAAGTCACTTCTGATGAGAGAGAATTGGCCATTTGCAAGGATGTTGCCCAAGGGATGCCCAGATGTATGATGCTTTACCATCCCGTGGGAGCTGAGACAGGAGCTCACCTTGCTCCCCAGATTCGAACTGCCAACTTGTCAGTCAGCAGTCCTGCCAGCACCACCAGGGACTTTATTACCTGAATTGCTATGATGCCATAGAAGCCCGGAGATTAGGGTTGTCAGGCCTTTGATTGGAGTTTATTAAGGTGGACTTAGATGAAGGGTTAGAAGGCATGGTCATCAAGTTTGCAAACGAATCCAAATTGGGAGAGATAGCTAATACTCCAGAAGACAGAAGCAGAATTCAAAACAATCTTAACAGATTAGAGAGATGGGCCAAAACTAACAAAACAAAGTTCAACAATGACAAATGCAAGATACTCCACTTAGGCAGGAAAAATGACATGCAGAGATACACAATGGGGGACGCCTGGCTTGACAGCAATACGTGGGAAAAGATCTTGGAGTCCTTGTGGACAACAAGTTAAATATGGGCCAACAATGTCTTACGGGAGCTGAAAAAGCCAATTGGATTTTGGCCTTCATAAATAGGAGTATAGTGTTTAGATTCAGGGATGTCATGCCATCCCTCTTACTTACTTACTTACTTACTTACTTAGGCGATCCCTCATTGGCCGAGTAGGATAGTCTTCCAGGATCAGTGTTCTGATGGGTCCGTAGGCGACTATGGAGCCCTATTCTTCATCTGCATCTTCTTCTGCAGTGAGGACATTGGTTTCCAGATGGAAGGCGGTCTCGGTTGGGGTGGCTTGACGCGCCTTCCTCTTGGCATGTTTCTCTCTTTCACCCTCCATTCGTGCCTCTTCAAATTCTGCAGCACTGCTGGTCACAGATGACCTCCAACTGGAGTGCTCAAGGGCCAGGGCTTCCCATTCTCAGAGTCGATGCCAGAGTTTTTAAGGTTGGCTTTGAGCCCATCTTTAAATCTCTTTTCCTGTCCACCAACATTTCGTTTTCCATTCTTGAGTTCAGAGTAGAGCATCCGGACAACATGGCCGGTCCAGTAGAGCTGATGGCTGAGGACCATCGCTTCAATGCTGGTGGTCTTTGTTTCTTCCAGCACGCTGACATTTGTCCTCCTGTCTTCCCAAGAGATTTGCAGGATTTTCCGGAGGCAGCGCTAGTGGAATTGTTCCAGGAGTTGCATGTGACGTTTGTAGACAGTCCACATCTCGCAGGCGTATAGCAGGGTTGAGAGGACAATAGCTTTATAAACAGCCTTGGTCAGACCACATCAGCCTTGGTCAGACCTCTATCGAATTCTGGGCACCATAATTTAAGGGAGGTGTTCACAAGCTGCAATGTGTCCAGAGGAGAATAACTAAAATGATCAAGGGTCTGGAGATCAAACCCTATGAGGGGTGGTTTAAAGAGCTGGGCATGTTTAGCCTGCAGAAGAGAAGGATGAGAGGAGACATGATGGGCATATATAAATATGTGAGGGGAAGTCATAGGGAGGAGGGAGCAAGTTTGTTTTTTGCGGCCCTGGAGACTAGAACACGGAACAATGGCTTCAAACTACAGGAAAGGGGATTCTACTTGAACATTAGGAGAACTTCCTGACTCGTAGCTGTTCAGCAGTGGAACTCTCTGCCTCAGAGTGTGGGTGGAGGCACTTTATTTGGAGGCTTTTAAGCAGAAGCTGGATGGTCATTTGTCAGGGGTTCTTTGAATGCGATTTTTCTGCTTCTTGGCAGGGGGTTGGACTGGATGGCCTTCCAATTCTATGATTCTATGACTTGTAGCCCTAGCTATAGCCCTTGGTTTCCTGTGATTTTCTCAAGCACCAGGGGAGAAAGTGCAAGTTGAGGAACCATAGAAGTAGGAAGAGCTATGTGGTCTTTGTGGGACAGGGCTTTGAAAGGTGAGAGCACTGTTGACATGAATGCTGGAATACATAATAATATTCCTGATTCATTCATTGCATCACTTAGAAATCCTTCTGCTATGCAAATTTTAAATGATTGTGGAATTCATGAGCTGCATAATAGGCCACTGAATTCATAATGTGGTCATATGTTAAAAGAAAGAATGAGGTGTGCCTTCCCAGAGGCATCCCATCCAAACTAAACACCACTTACTCTACTGCTAACAAACCTTGCATTAACACAGACTGTTTTGATGCTCTTTAGGGGGATGGAGATAGTTTGAGTTATGTGGAATGTGAAAACTTGTCTTGTTTTATTTCTGACAATTCCATTTTTGTAAATATTCAAATAATGAATAAACAAGGATTTCAAATCTTTAAAAGCCAGTTATTGTAATTTTATAGTGAAGCACTAAAATAGTGCTTGCCTTTTATGTAGAATAATTATCATAGGTGATCATTGGCGGCCAAGTATGGTTATCTTCCAGAGGTAGGGTCTTGGTGGTAGGTCTGTAAATGATTATGAAGACCTATTCTGGAGCCACATGGTCTTTCACACTGAGGATACATATTTCCAGATGGATGGTGGACACAGCAAGGATTTGCTTGACAAGCCTTCCTCTTGATATGTTTCTTCCTTTCACTCTGTATTTGTGCTTCTTCAAAATGTAGAAAAGTTGTGAGTACACAATAAATGATTATTTGCATGGTTAATTTTCAGGTGCCTTCCAGATTACTTTGGTGAGCGTTGTGTTGAACAGTTTTTGAAGACACATAGGAGTGATATTGAAGCACCAAATAAATCATCTGAAGTACTTGGGTCCATTTTGGGAGCCGTTTTTGGGCTTACAGTCCTTAGTTTTGTCATCATTGTCATCATTATCATAGTGCGGTAAGTAACATGCCAAATCTATAGTTGGAGTTTATTAAGGTGGACTTGCAATTATTCAGCCATGGGCCCTTCCACACTGCCCTTTATCCCAGGATCTGATCCCAGATTATCTTATTGAAACTGGAATATATGAGTCTCCACTGCCAGATAACCTGGAATAAATAGATAATCTGGGATCAGATCCTGGAATATAGGGGCTGTGTGGAAGGGCCCTATATGAGCAAATCATCTATATAAATAAAAATGTAATGTTCATTTGTGGGATTAACAGAACTCAAAAACCACTGGACGAATTGACACCAAATTTGGACACAAGACACCTAACAACCCAATGTATGTCCTTCACTCAAAAAAATTGATTTTGTCATTTGGGAGTTGTAGTTGCTGGGATTTATAGTTCACCTACAATGAAAGAACATTCTGAACCCCACCAACAATGGAATTGAACCAAACTTGGCACAGTTCTCCCATGACCAACAGAAAATACTGGAACGGTTTGGTGGGCACTGTTCTTTGGTTTTGGAGTTGTAGTTCACCTACATGCAAAGATGACTGTGGATTCAAACAATGATGGATCTGGACCAAACTCTACAAGAATACTCAATATGCCCAAATGTCAACACTGGTGGAGTTTGAGGGAAATAGAATCTTGATATTTGGGAGTTGTAGTTGCTGGGATTTATAGTTCACCTACAGTCAAAGAGCATTCCGAACCCCACTAATGATAGAATTGGGCCGAACCTCCCACACAGAACCCCCATGTGGGCAACAGCAACGCGTGACAGGGGACGGCTAGCAGTACAATAAAAAATTACATACTGCCTTATATGATATTTTAAATACATTAAAACATCCTTTGACAACAAAGAACTGTAGTAGTTGTCCAGGAAACCACATACCAGCTGAATGTTGTGTGGAGAAAAGCTGGGCAAAGTAATTGTAATGAAGTTGTATAGCCTCAGTTACATGAAAAAAATCATTAGTACAATGAAGGGTTGGCTAATGAAGGGTTGAGCTCCACTTTTGAAGCCCTTGTTAGGGCAATAACTTAATAAGTATTTGAGAACATTGTTGACTTTGAAAGTTTATTCTTTTAAGCACCCTATATGAGGTATGTTGCAAATGTGTCAGAAATGCTTTAAATGAGTAAGTAAAGTTTATTGATTACTCCACTGACCATATCAACAGTAAAAGACAAAAACAAGAAAACACATAAATAGATACTAATCACTGTCCTAGAACTCTTGTAATAGTGAACATACATTAAAACACAATTAAAACTTGATTAAGCTAAAAGTTAAAGATAATTTTTAAAATATCATTGTTAAAGTACCAAGGTAAAGCTTTAAGTGAATAGGTAAGAAAAGACTGAATGTCAGCCATTTAATCGACTGAAGTTATGAAATGCAGTTCTCAGGTTGTGATCTCATTCAGATCTGCAGGTCCTGGGCATTGCTATAAGGAGGGATCATGATGAGTTGGATGCAGATTTGACCATTGGAGTAGATTTATTGAAATCAAATGGCAGTGATTCCCTTTTTCCTTTTTGGTCATTTTTTAAATTCAATTTTTAACAGAAAAAACAACATTTATATAACTAGCTACTCGGTTTCTCTCACAAATATACATATCTACTCCAGCTTATGTACATATAAATCTAAAATACAAACACACATACATAAATTACTTTTAAAAGAGAATTTCCTGCTTCACTTTTTTCAGTTTCTCTACAGTTTAATTTTTTTCTTCTACCTTATATCCAGCAAGTTATTTATTTCTCCAAACCTAAAGCCTTTTCCTCTCCTCAGATATACATTGATAGAAAACTTTCCATTCTTCTAAACATGTTTCCAGTGATTTAGCCTTCAACAAAGCTGCTAACTTATCCATTTCTATTAGTTCCCGCATCTTCACTGCTCAATCTTGGTATTTCACGAGTACCTTAAATCCCATTGAATTTTGGACATCTATTACAAGTATTATTAAATTTGGATCTAAAAATATGATGTAAATGTCTCATACACAAGCGTTGATAGTTGGTACGTAATGGGTCTCAAAGGTCTGGGCAAAAGTCATTTTACTATGAGGAGGCACCATGAAGTTAATATTGGATTTATAAATGGTACACCAGTGCATTTCAGTGTGATTTTCCCTGTCCTTGAGACTTCTGGCTGTGGTGGGCAGGAACTTTTTTTCTGCTACCCTGGAGACTAGGGTATGGAAAAATGGCTTCAAACTACAAGAAAGGGGATTCCATCTGAACATGAGGAAGAACTTCCTGACTGTGAGAGCTGTTCAGCAGTGGAACTCTCTGCCCTGGAGTGTGGTGGAGGCTCCTTCTTTGGAAGCTTTTAAACAGAGGCTGGATGGCCATCTGTCAGGGGTGATTTGAATGCAATTTCCTACTTCTTGGCAGTGGGTTGGACTGGATGGCCCACGAGGTCTCTTCCAACTCTATGATTCTATGGGCAGGAACCTTGCTAACAATGCTTGATTTCATTTTCACGTTAAAAGTCTCTAGCAGAACGTGGCCTCCACGTGACGGCATTGCATATGGTGGTATAAGCCAGCCTCATCACTCATTGTACACAAACATGGTGTGGAGCTGTTTGGAGTCTAACCTGAGTAAATGGGTCTTTAACAACTTCCCCTCGGCTAAACTACAGTGCATTTTACATCAGTAATAGTAGGAATTTGTGTTAAAATAGGTGAGATTTGATTTAATAATGTAACATAGAACAGCAGCTTATTCAAACCTTTGTGGATAAGCAGCAATGCACAATGTATTCTACAGTCAACATTTAAAAATTAAGGAATTGAGGATAATATTGGCCAGAACTTGATGGCCAGTCTCCATATGGCCAATGACTCATGTCACTGATGTCATCCTCCACTCCTGTCATACCTTTCACTACTTGTACTGGGCAAAATGATATTTCATCAGATATTAGTAGAGAATGGTCTGATGAAAGGAAGCAATTCATATATTGCTTGCAATTATGCTGGGAACTAGTAGCACAATATCCAGCTAAGGACACCATTATTTAGATGTCAATCAGAGTTAAAAGTAGATTTTCCAGAGAGAGTTAAGAACATCTCTCATAGCTTTCTCTACAGTAGTCTGAAACAAGGAAAGGTTTCATTGTGCAAATTGAGTTTCAAAAGCTGTGACTTGAATCTGTGATTTTTATTGGTATCAAAGAAGCTATTTTATGAAGTTTTTCATTGTTTATTCTATGTGTCTTGGTGATGTTGTGCTGCCATCTTCAAATGGGATGAGCCAGCAAAAAAATCTCCTATATACTCTCCTTTTAAAATGAATAGAAGCTACAAAAGAACAATATTGAGCTTTTGTTCATTTCCCATTCATTTCAATGTGGGCTACATGGGACCTTTTTTCACTGGATTGTGCCCTTGTCCATAAACATTAACTGAATTTTTATTTCCATTTTAGCCTTCATGCCGAAATCTTTGCATTTCCTTCCACCCTGCCTACCCCTGCCCACAAGCATTGATGCCTGCCTGTCTTTAATTATAGTATTAAATATAGAGTTTTTACAAATTCTTTATTTAAAGTTGTTCATTCTTGTTGGTTTTTTCCTTTTGTTGATCTATCTGTATTGCCTCTGTAGTTCGAAACCCATTTTGTGCTTTTGTTTTTGGTGGGATTGGAGAAATTAGTTTCATTTTTATAAATGTGTATAACAGAGTCCAATATTTGTATTTAGAAAAAGATGTTCTAAATATGATGAAAAAGAGGAGAGGAAAAAGCTCCGACATGAAAATGCAAGTTCCAGCAATGGAGTTTAAAGAGAAGAAGAGGTAGGAGTTTCTCAGAATATGTTCCACAGTACATATTTGGGAATAAGTCTCATTGGAAACAATGGGGTTTGCTTAAAGGTGTAAGATGGTGTGTGTGTTACTTTCTTGAATCAGGGAAGTGGGGAATATACGTGTAGTAGTATTCTTTCTCCAGTTTTTCTGTTGGCTGTTCCTTACATGGTCCTCAATGAATGCTGGATTGCGATGCTATACCCATTTGCTTCTGCTTATTTATTCTGAGAAGATATATAATTGATTAAAATTTAAATGTAATTGATAGAGTTTTATTAAACAAACTACTATATGTCAAAATAATAGAATTACAGGCATTCTCTGCTTGTTAAGACATCTAGTTGAAGGATTATCATTGTGAGATTGTCCCCTCATATTGCATTATTATTTGAAACACAACAAGATGAGTCCACAGCAGACAAGATCACTCTGCTGGCTGTTGTATTAGATCACACCTCAGACACTTCCCAAGTGTCTAGGACTTTTTATTTTTTTGTCTAGGACATTATTATTATTATTATTATTATTATTATTCTTTATACCCTGCTTTACCTCCTCAAAGGGGACTCAAAGCAACTTGACATAAAAGCATTAACACAGAATTTCAAATATAAACATATACAAAAATTAAAACAGAATTAAATACAAATAGCACTAAAAAAATCAGTGAAAATCCATCAAAACATATTATAAGTTAAAACCACAGCACCTCCTGACCAGATCTTAAAATCTTCTTATTTAAAAGCTTGCCTGAATAAAAAGGTTTTAGCCTGCTGCTCAAAGGACAGCAGGGAAGGGGCTTTTCTGACTTTCCTGAGCAGGGCAACGTGCTTGAGATGGAGCATGCAGAAATGATATATTTAGTGAGCCCATTGGTAAATCTGACCAAGAATAAACTGTCCAAACTAGAAGCAAGTCTCCTAAATTTCAGATCAGAACGTTTCTTGATCCTGCTGCTTAGGATGCTTTAATAGATGTGGGTGAACAATAACTACACCTGAATATTTTTGTATTGTCAAAGGCTTTCATGGCTGGAATCAGTAGGTTCTTGTGGATTTTTTCGGGCTATAGGGCCATGTTCTAGAGGCATTTATCCTGACATTTCGCCTGCATCTATGGCAAGCATCCTCAGAGGTCATACCTCTGAGGATGCTTGCCATAGATGCAGGCGAAACGTCAGGAGAAATGCCTCTAGAACATGGCCCTATAGCCCGAAAAAACCCACAAGAACCTACTGAATATTTTTGTGTTTAAAGCCTGTGGTCATCTACCTTTTTTTTTCCTTTTTTCTTTTTTTTGTCGTGTCAGGAGCGACTTGAAAAATTGCAAGTTGCTTCTGGTGTGAGAGAATTGGCTGTCTGAAAGGACGTTGCCCAGGGGACGCCCGGATGATTTGATGTTTTATCATCCTTGTGGGAGGCTTCTCTCATGTCCCCGCATGAAGAGCTGGAGCTGATAGAGGGAGCTCTCCCCGGATTCGAACCTGCGACCTGTCGGTCTTCAGTCCTGCCAGCACAGGGGTTTAACCCACTGTGCCACTGGGGGCAACTCTTGGCTCTCTCATTGATAGATTTGTGAGAAACTAAGCTTGCGTTATACAGGTGTTACAATATTTCATAGTTTTAACTCTCCTGAAATATGTTTATTATTATTATTATTATTATTATTATTACTAAACTTTATTTGTACCCCGCTAGCATCCCCCGAAGGACTCGATGCGGCTTAAAAAGGCCAAGGCCTCAACACACAACATAACAGTTCAAAACCTAAAGCAAATTAAAAACTAAAGCAATATAAACAACAAGCAATAAACAATACACAAAGACACAATAAAACTGGGCCGGGCCAGAGTAATGGGTACAGAATTAAAAGTGCTGATGTGACAGGTGGTATATAAGGCTTATAGGGTAAGGGCAGTGTGCGGTGTGCGGCAATCTTAGTTCTGATAAAGTGCTTCTGGGACTTGGTATTGGAGATTTCCTATTTTGGGAAGGCACATCGGAACAGCCAGGTCTTCCAAGTTCTTTCTAAAGACTGCCAATGTAGGGGCCTGTCTAAGATCTTTGGGGAGGGTGTTCCAGAGTCGGGGGGCCACCACAGAAAAGGCCCTGACTCGTGTCTCCACCAAACGCGCTTGCGACGCAGGCGGGATCATGAGCAGGGCCCCTCCAGATGACCAAAGTGAACGCGTGGGATAATAATCATGTGTTACCATGATTTTTCTAAACTTCCCATAATGTTTATTCCTTATAGGTGATGAACAAGCTATTGCCGAAGCACATTTTATTCCATGGAGGCACATGTGGAAGAACGTGAGACTGAGATCTTGTTTGCCCCAACATGGAAGAGAATACAGAGAGGGATTTTGCATTCCCATCTACTGCCAATGGATGTAGAACATGCCACTGCACTTTCAGGAAGTAACACCTGTAATTCTCATAGCCACCGAGGAGCTTTGGAACACTGGAAAGTCTATCGAATGCTTATTGCCTTTGCAGACTTCCCTTTTTGCATGTACATCTGTCATCAGAGACTTGTTTACTGAGAGGGTTGACAAAGAAGTGTGTGTGTGTGACAGAGAAAAAGTGTGTGTGTGTCAAAGAGAATGTATGTCTGATAAAGATGAGGAAAGAGAAGATTTTAGGAGATGCTCATGGTTGCACAGAGGTTTTTAATTAAAAAAAACCTGACTTCCACACACCCTGAAAGGAGAAAGAAAGAAAGAAGGCTTTGATTAAGTCTCTCACACTGCTTAAAGAACTGGGACAAATGGCATAGGGTGTGCCTCCCTTCTCCCACACCTCCACCTCTGTCAACTGGAGGTTTCCCACTGGCTGTGTGAAAAGGCAGCAGGCCAGGAGCGTCATTACTCACTACAGTCTACTTTTTATACCGGACATCCCATTTGAAGATACGTGTGCAATTGTAGCATTTCTCAAGGTTTCTGCTGCTATAATTTTTAAACATGTATGTTGGAAGATACAATAGATTATTTTAAAGACTGACAGATTGCATCCAATCGTGAAAGATTAGTTGCTTTATGGTAATTTTGTGCTTTTGGGAGTATATTCTACTGCCCATTATCTACAATGAATGAATACAAGATGGATTTATTGCCTTAGGATTCTGAAGCTGAGGTGGAAGTAGAAACCTGATGTCTTATGAGCAGATATATTAGGGCAGTGATGGGCAACCTGTTGAGCTTGATGTGGTAAGATTTGCCAAAAACCTGAGCATAACTTAGGTGGAGTGTCACTTCAAGAAAAAAACCATAATTTTGCAATATTTATAGTTTAAATAAGAAAAATGTATAATTCATGCTGAGTTATGGAGTGAACAATGCTCAAACATGCATATGTTAAATTTGTAGAGCCTTTTCCAAATTTAAGGATGGAATTAGATTGGCTCTTATAAGGTGTATTTCTCTGTATGTGGCCACATGTGCCTTCGTGTCATCAAAAATAGCCATGCATGTCAGTGCTGACACGCATGTCATAGGTTCACCATCACGGTATTAGGGTGTTCAAGATACACAGCTGTAGAATAATAGTGTTAAAAGTCCATACTAAAGTCCTTATCAAATTGGAGACTACTCTGGATTTAAGTAGATTGGACAATGAGCTCTACATTGGCATTCAGTTATTCAAGAAACTCTTAGAAAAATATTGAGTAAAAACATCCTCATTTTGACTCCTCAGTTTACTCATGATCTCTCTATTGAATAGCAGAGTCCTCTGCTATCTCGGAGAAAATATATTTGGGCCAATATTCTGGGAGCTGTTTCGTCTTAGTATGCATTCATCCATATAGAAATTGTCTCGGGGCAGGTTCCTAGTAAAAGATGCCCAATTACAACAAAGGTAGTCCACTCTGTTTCACAGTCAAAATGAAATGAGAGATCAATATGATAATCAGCAACTTTAGTGTGATTTTGAAAAAAAATGTAAACGTTCCTAGGAATTCTTGTTGAAGTGCAGTATAAGATAACGTAAATTCAATGTGTTGTTGAAGGCTTTCATAGCCAAAATCCTTGGGTTGGTGTGAATTTTTCAGGCTGGATTGCCATGTTCCAGTAGCATTCTCTCCTGGAATGTCTGAAATAGAGGATGCCGACAAGCAACAAAGGCCAGGCTACCTCTATACAGATACTCTCACTGATTGACTTTGCAGCTTCATGGCTATTTAATACTATTCAAGCATACTAATTGCAACGTTCATACTTGCTTTAAACAGACATGGGTTCTTTCTCCCAGCCTGGACATTGGATGGATGGATGGATGGATGGATGGATGGATGGATGGATGGATGGATGGATGGATGGATGGATAGATAGATAGATAGATAGATAGATAGATAGATAGATAGATAGATAGATAGATAGATAGATAGATAGATAGATAGATAGACAGTCGTTTCACTGACAACAGAACTTCTGAAGATGTCAGCCATGGATGCAGGGAAAGCATCAGGAGAGAATGCTACTGGAACATGGCCATACAGCCCCAAAAACTCACAGCAACCCAACTTAAATTCAGCTTGCTGTCAAATACTTTTTACAAAGATGCACCTTAATTAACTCTAGTTATGCATGTTTTTCAGTATTTCTTTTTAACTGTAAATAACTGTTAGTTACAATTGCCTGTCTATTGCATTGTTGGTAACAGAAAAACAGTACTTAACACGGTTTCATGCTGTCTTTGTAAATATGTAAGTAGAGATATTTTCTATCATTGTAAATAAGTGTTCCTGTATTTAATATTGTACACACCACTCAAAAATCTATTTATTTATACTTATTTTTTTATACAAATAGAACCACAGACGAATTAACTTTTTTTATTGCTAGCTGGCATTTGTTAACTCTGAATTATTGTGGTCTTCTCAATCAGTGCCTTGCACAACAATACTAGGGTCATATATTGAAATGACAAACCCCACATTGATTTTATATCAGTTCACCTGTCACAACTTACTCTGAAGAATCCCCGTGCTTGCCTTATTTAGTGAGGGTACTAAAGTTCCTAGTTACTCACTCTCTTTCTCCTCTGTTTTCTGGATTCAGAAGGGCGAGGAAAGGGAGATAATTGATCGATCCATTTATAGTGCAAGTGTGCTTTATGTCAGTGTCCATAAGGGAACTTGAGAGTTGATGGTGATTTCTAAACCCAATTTTACTTCAGACAGTGAGGCTATGTCTTAGGAGTTTATCACATAAGGTAGTAATCATGATTTATCACATAAATCACGATTACAGCAGGACAAGACTGTGGATTTGTCACATTACATTGCTCCTCTCTCACTGCTCTCCCAGTAGGAAATAGCCAGGAACACATCTTTTACAAATTTATTTATTTATTTATTGTGTCATCTGCAACCAGAACATTGTATTACATTTCTAACAGAACAAAACAAACAAACAGATTAAAAAACCCACAAATTTTGCAAACTTGGTAGCTGATTAAATGTCCTTTGACCAGTATCTGGCCACTTGGAGTGCCTCTGGTGTTGCCGCAAGGAAGTCCTCCATCGTGCATGTGGCAGGGCTCAGGTTGCATTGTAGCAGGTGGTCACTGGTTTGCTCTTCTCCACACTCGCATGTCGTGGATTCACCTTTGTAGCCCCATTTCTTAAGATTGGCTCTGCATCTCATGGTGCCAGAGCGCAGTCTGTTCAACGCCTTCCAAGTCACCCAGTCTTCTGTGTGCCCAGGGGGGAGTCTCTCATCTGGTATCACCCATGGATTGAGGTGCTGGGTTTGAGCCTGCCACTTTTGGACTCTCGCTTGCTGAGGTGTTCCAGCGAGTGTCTCTGTAGATATAAGAAAACTATTTCTTGATTTAAGTCGTTGACGTGCTGGCTGATACCCAAACAGGGGATGAGCTGGAGATGTCTCTGCCTTGGTCCTTTCACTATTGGCTGCTACTTCCCGGCGGATGTCAGGTGGTGCAATACCGGCTAAGCAGTGTGATTTCTCCAGTGGTGTAGGGCGCAGACACCCTGTGATAATGCGGCATGTCTCATTAAGAGCCACATCCACTGTTTTAGTGTGGTGAGATGTGTTCCACACTGGGCATGCGCACTCAGCAGCAGAGTAGCACAGCGCAAGGGCAGATGTCTTCACTGTATCTTTTAAAAGATACATCTTTTACAAATATAGATAATCCAATAATGACCTCTTTTTGTAAAAGAAACACCATCTAACTATCTCTCATCAGGAGTCCGGTGGGAAAGGATTGATAATGTCAGATGGTATGTCCAGAGCAAAGACACTGTTGTCCTGCTGTAGTTGCACTTTGCCGGCCTCATGGGATAAACTCCCTAGTTTGAGTAAGGGATCTGAATGTTTCTGCTTCCTTAAATATCTTACTGACTTTGCCCAATTTCAGTGTAATTAGTTTTTCACTTAGTCAATAAAAACTGCAATGAACGAGGAAAATAGGATAACAAATAAGGCAAAGAAGCCTAGAAAGATACTTCCTCCTGCCCAGCTCCCATTTATTTCAAGGGGGTTTGTCTAGAACAGGGGTCCTCAAACTACGGCCCGGGGGCCAGATACGGCCCTCCAAGGTCATTTACCCAGCCCTCGCTCAGGGTCAACCCAAGTCTAAAATGACTTGAAAACACACAACAATTACAACAATCCTATCTCATCAGCCAAAAGCATAAACCAATGGATTCCAATGTTAAGATAAGAGATCCCAACCTAACAATTAGGAAGTACATAAGGAGATTCCATCTGAACATTAGGAAGAACTTCCTGACTGTGAGAACTGTTCAGCAGTGGAACTCTCTGCCCCGGAGTGTGGTGGAGGCTCCTTCTTTGGAGGCTTTTAAACAGAGGCTGGATGGCCATCTGTCAGGGGTGCTTTGAATGCAATATTCCTGCTTCTTGGCAGAGGGTTGGACTGGATGGCCCATGAGGTCTCTTCCAACTCTGTGATTCTATGATTTACTGTAAGAACCGTTCAACAGACTGTCTCAGATGGTGTAGATTTTCCTTCTCTGGGGGTCTTTAAACAGTTATTGGATGAATATTTTTCAAAATGCTTTAGCAATGTATTTTTGCATGACAGGTATATACATTAGATCAGGGGTCCTCAAACTAAGGCCCGAGGGCTGAATACAGCCCTCCAAGGTCATTTACCCAGCCCTCGCTCAGGGTCAACCCAAGTCTAAAACGACTTGAAAACACACAACAATAACAACAATCCTATCTCATCAGCCAAGAGCAGGCCAACACTTCCCATTGAAATACTAATAAGTTTATATTTGTTAAAATTGTTCTTCATTTTAAATATTGCATTGTTTTAAAATGTTTTTTGCGCTACAAATAAGATATTTGCAATCTGCATGATTTCTTAAAATTATAATCCGGCCCGCCAACAGTTTGAGGGATTGTGATCCTCTGTTGAAAATGTTTGTGGACCCCTGGTCTAGAAGAACTTCCACTGTAAGAAAAATGCCCAAGTGGGACCATTCCTCCCTGTAGTGAAGCTGAAAGAGTTACAAGAACGGTGGACTGAAACTTCCCCAGAGCCATTATCCTGAGACTTCTTACCAGTTTGCTTGGTAGTCTCACCCTGCATCTCATCAGAATGACACTGTAATACAATGGTGCACCAGCCCTCTCTTGAAAGAGCAAGTCGAACAGGAAAAACAGAATATGGGCTGCTTAATTCAATGTGTCAACAGGATTGTCTCAGGGAAGCCACAAATAGCATTTAGAAATAATAGTTCTCCTCCTCCCACTGTCTGTTTTGGTCACACGATGCTACCGGCTTGAGAGTGCCTCTCCTTTAAAGTGTGCCAATCTGGCTAAAGAGGCAGACTTTTCAAGTTTAGAATGTGCTTTCTTTCTTGAGTCTGATACTAACAGAACACAGTCATCATGAATGTATTTGGGTGGAAATGGACCCGATAGAACTTTTCCCTTATTACTCCCATCAGTCCAATGGCCAACAGAACACATCTCCATGGACACTTAACCCCAAAAAGGGGGGGGGCAGCTCTGTGGCAGCTACACAATTCATGGAGCTGATTTGATTAAAGTGAACCTAGACTATTAGGGCCCCCGGTGGCGCAGTGGGTTAAAGCACTGAGCTGCTGAGCTTGTTGATTGAAAGGTCGCAGGTTCGATTCCAGGGAGCGGCGTGAGCTTCCGCTATCAGCCCTAGCTTCTGCCAACCTAGCAGTTCGAAAACATGCAAATGTGAGTAGATCAATAGGTACTGCTCCGGCGGGAAGGTAACGGTGCTCCATGCAGTCATGCTGGCCACATGACCTTGGAGGTGTCTATGGACAATGCTGGCTCTTCGGCTTAGAAATGGAGATGAGCACCACACCCGAGTCAGACATGACTGGACTTATTGTCAGGGGACTACCTTTACCTTTACACTACTTAATGTGATCTTGAACTGCAAAATTGTAGGTTGCTCCAGAGTTCTGAGAATCTGGAGCAAACTGTGATCATAGGAGGTTTTCAGGCCCTTGTAAGCCTCTTCCTTTGTTCTTCCTCCACTTGTTAAAATTATCATTCTTGAATTTTCATGCCCAAACCAGAAAAGAGATCCATTGGATCATTCTGTTCCAATGAGAATGTTTTACTGAAAACCTCCTATGACTTTTCCTCGAAAGCTAAACTTAGGGGGAGAGAAAAGTAAAAGAAATATTGTAGACATTTTCAGATATTTGAAATGATAGCCATGTATTACAAGGCTTGGTAAAAAAAAAAAATCACTCGTGACCTCTTTCCACCTGATAACTTTTTTCATGCCCCCAGGTATAGGTATATAAAATAGGTTTTAAAAATCCCAATGTTTACTGAAAATAAATCAGGATTTCCAAGGTTCACTAAGCAGGCTGATTTTACTTTTTGAAGGCATTTTCTGCTGCCATTGTAAACACTGTACGTTGCTTCTAAGAGATTTGTGTAAATGGGTGGTGTTCAGAAACTTTTTATTGTTATAATTTTTTTTGTGCCCATTGATCTCAAAGGACCCCATTTGGGATCAGGATCCATAGCAGTGATCAGGCCCGTAGCCAGGATTTCATTTCGGGGCGGGCTGAATTTTTTTCAGGGGGGGTTTCGGGGGGCTGAGTTTCGGGGGGGGGGGGGCTGAGTCTGAGTGAAAGAGGGTCTAGCCTAGCAAACCTTTTGTATCATTACCCCAATACCCCCATGCATATGGGATATATTGAGTATGGTGATCAGATCATGATATGAATAAACATAACAGTTTAAATAATGCACCA